TCAGGCTGGTGTGGGGTTTGCCACTCGCTCGTTTGCCTTGACCACACATGTGCCACATCCGCGAATCTGTTGCTGAGTGCTCCCACGTGTGTTGCGAAATTCAGCTTGGCAACCCCCTCACTGGAAGGGAAATGAAGCTGCACACTCAACAAGCAAAGGGCGCTGGCGTTGCAATGCGACCGACATCGCGCGTCAAAGGAAGGTGCTCAAGGGCAATGCGCCTTGACCTGATGGTACAATGGACAGGATGCAAGGAAAACTTAATTGTTGTGTAAAAACAATTAATGATGCGAACATCCAGCTTTACAAACGAACATGGCAGTGCGGCCGACAGGTGTGACGCACGTCAGCAATGAGCCAACACTTCACATGTCGCCCCCTGGCCCGCCCGATGAGAAAGATTTAGCACCTTTGCGCAAAGCAACCGTGTTATTCTGAGATCCTTATCATTCCTGCATGGATCTTGGTGACTGCAACACCACAACAGGGCGTGCCTTGTGCCTGCGCGAAGAAGCATTGTGCACTTCTCACCGGGTGACGGGTCTGCCCAACAGCTTCTCGTACCGTAGTTGTCATGTTGCGAGCAGCACGGCGGCATACGATTATCTCAAGGAAGCTTCGTAGGTTTCCATACAGCCAGATGAAGCAGCCGACCACCTTCCTGGACTTGCCGATCTTGGCACTCGCGCAAGCCCTGACACCCACACAGGCGCTGAATCTGATTAAGGTGTGCTATTGGTCACGCATGCGTGGTGCGACACGCGCCTGGTGCTGCTCAGTTGTGCGCAGCCTCGGCGCCATGTGCTCTTGCTGCCACGCTGTGCTGCTGGCCATGCCCAGCAATGCTTCTGCGCTCACTTAGACTCTTCCTCCGCGTGGCCGCTCCCATCAACCTGCAGACATGCAGATTCTTGCGGAAAAGCGTCGACTCGGAGGCGTTTTGGCAGATCATGGCGGCGCGGCTCTGGCCGGCCCCAACGCTACGCTGCCCACACTACCCAGACTTGAAGGCGCGCATGCACGCACATGGCGCTCGCATGGATGACGATGGGTCAGCGAATGACCCCCGGCCTCATCAGTCACAACCGCCCCACCGTTACAAGCCCGCCTCGCATGCTGCGGGTGACAAGGCGCGCCTTGACGCTCGTCTTGCCTGCTTCCGTTGCTGGACCCGCACGCGTCTACTGTACTTTGAAACTGATCCCCGAGCACTCGGCTGCACCCGGCCCCGTGCTAAGTTCCCACACGCTACCAGCTCACCTTCATTGCCGTTGCAGCTTTCCTGCCCCACTGCGCCCACTTTGACGGTGCCCCAACCCCCACTTATGCCGCCCCACGCCACAACATTATGGCATGCCCGCGCCTGCCTGTGCGCCCCCGCAGACCCTGGTGTTGGACGGCAACCGCGCCAACGCTGAGCTGGCGCTCGACCTGAACGGCCTTGTCAGCGACTACCGCTTCAGGCGCCCTTCATGCTTCTCCCAGTGCCGCCTGCTGCGCCTGCTGTGGCGCTGCAGTAATGCTGGCAAGAGCTTCAGGTGCGCGGGCGGCCACCCTACTGCGAAGCGGTTCGCTGGGCGGGCCCGCCTCTGGCCGGCTGGATGCCGCATGTGCATGCATCGACCTTTCACCCCTTGATGGACGCGGCGCTGCCGCGCGGCCCCCGCAGCGCAGAATACCTTGTTCGCTGCGCCCCAAACATGCCCTCCACGCCTCCGCCCCTGCTGCGACCCTAGGTTGCTGTTTGATGCGCGCGGCGAGCGCAACCTGCGGCGGCCCTGCGACGTGCGAGGCGGCGCCTCATCGCTCGTCGTTATTGAGCTTTTGAACCCAGACGAGCCCTCGCCGGCCGAAGCCCGCCGGGCCGAGCGCGCCGCGATCGCGGCGGCGCGCCGAGCGCGCGGTGCGGCGGCTGCGGCGGT